TGTGCTATTACTTTGAAGATAAAGGGGATCATGAGAGAAGAATTCAAACAGTCATAAGAACACAGGGAAAAGGATTCTGACCAATACCAAGCCAGAAATGGGTATCTCAGATCTACAGAACTGAATTCAGCCAAAATATGAATTAGACAGAAACAGATTTTCCCAAAGAACCTTCAGAAAAGATCAGTCACTCTGACACTTAACAGAGGGTTTATAATACCCTAAGAACAATGCAGAAAGGTTCACTGGACTCCTGACATACATAACTGTGAGATCATAAATTTAGGTTATTTTAATCTGAAAGTCTATAGTAGTCTGTGATAGAAAGTAGTATGTTAATACTTAAGAATCAAAGTAATTGCCAACAAATCACCCTTGACAGAATAATCTAGTAAAACAACTAGAACCAAGTTAACCCAATTGAACATCACCAACAAGGGGAAAAATTACATCAACTGACTTGTAGTATGGTTTACTAACAACACAATAACATTACTTATACAGTACTTCTGATAAAAATAAACTGAACATAACTATAACTAATCCAATTCATATTAAGATATTTTCACAAAAATGACCTTCTTTAACAGCCCTTCCTAGTGGCACAAAGGATTAAAGCACATCATTGTGAAGCTCTATACAGCCAAGGCAGCACCAGTTCAATCCCCAGCCAGGTAACCCTTATGGCTCAGCAGACCACTCCTGACCTGCCTGCTGCTTCTCCCAGCAGTGTATTTCAGTCAATCCACCTATTCTGCACCCCACTCTGTCTTGGGTGAATCCTCTCACCCCTTGCATCTCTGGCCTGTACCCCAGTTCTTGAATGCATAAATAAATAAATCTTAAAAAAAAAAAGGACAATGGGCCATCTTCAGAAGGCTGCGCCCGTGGAGTAGCAGCCTGCGGTAAGCGGCTGGTTGCTCCCCTTGGGTCCCAGTCTCGCCTCCTTTTCCCTTCTGCCCCAGGCCCACCATGCCACAGTACCAGACCTGGAGGCGTCCAGTGCGCAGCCAAGAAATTCTACCTCCCAGATATATGAAGGCAGGTGTGGTTTTCAAATACAGGCATTCTGATGGTAGTTTGTATATTAAAGTAACAGATGGTTTAGTTTGTTTGGTATACAAAACAGAACAAACTCAAGGTGTAAAGAAAATTGAGAAATTCCAGTCAACTAATGCCACTTATGGGAACCAAAGAATCCCACAGTGTTCCACTGGAAACAGATTGACTTGTTTGAAATGAAGACCATCATGTTCTTAGGAAGTTAGTATCTTTTGAATTTGAGAAGTGTTGGGATAGAAAATATGTAACTAAAAGTAAATTGTTAAAAAAAATATAGGGTTGTTTTGTACCTTGTTTTTTTTAATGTTTGCTTTAGAGGGCTAGGAAGTTAAAATCCTTTTTTTTTTTTGGAAATAAAGTCATTTAAGAAACTTTAGACTATTTGGAGTTAGGCAAAATGTATGATTAATTGCTTTAGTAAATTTGTTATCAATAATTTGAAAATGAAATGTCAAAGAAAACCAATTCTTCCTTAAGTTTAATTATTAATCTGTCTTAAAAGGAAACTGTGACTATTTTACTGGATTGATGCTATATATTTGGTGGGGGCTTGCTTTTTTTTTTGGAGCATAAAATTTGTGCTGATGATAGTCCTCAAGTATAAAGTGAGGTAACTGGAATTATCTGCATAGCAATATATGTATAGTAGTATAGTTGAAAATACACCTAAACGTAATTACGGAACAAATATTCTTTACCTTAAACTTTCTAAATTTAAGCTATATTTTTAATATAAAAGGTACATCTTGTTATTAGCTTGTTGAGCAAAGATTAATCTAATTTTCAATACTCAGAAACAACTGCTGTGGCTTCACAATTTCACTGTGTAAGGCATGAACAGAATGATAGCTACGCAACTAAAATGACCATGTTATAGAAATACTTGCCACGTTTCCCATCTAGTTTCTCAGAAGGCTAGGACTTATTTGAACTGTTAGATCTTCGCATATCTCTGTGACACCCCTGACTGTCTCTTTTCTTAACCCAGGTTAAGCATGACTGTCACCACTGTTGTTTCCCATTAAACCGAAGTATGATATTGATATTTATCTCATATTTGTAACCACAATTTTGCCACCTAAATGTAATGTTCACATTGATTCCAACAGTAAAATATTTTTTCATAGAAAAAAATGTACAATTTTGAAAAAAAAAAAGACACAGGAGAAATAGAAAGGTATTCCATACTCATGGACTGAAGAATTAACATCATTAAAAAAGCTATTTAATAAAAGTAATAGACAGATTCAATGTAATTTCTATCAAAATTCTTCATAGGGAGAAAAATCCTTGATTATTTACACAGTACAAAAGATTCCCCAAACAAAAACACTCCTGAGAAAAAAAGGGGAAAAAATAGCCATTTCCCAACATCGAATTATACTACAAAGCAACTATTACAACAGATTGTTATTAAAATAAACAGAGGGCCCTCCCTGGTGGCGCAGCGGGTTAAAGCACTGCACTAAGAAGCTGAAACCACTTCCACATGAGTTTGATTCCCCCCTGCCCCGAGGTGACCACATGGTGTGGCAGACCTCCCCTGACCCGCCCGCTGCTCCCCTCAGCAGTGTACTTCATCGATCTGCCTGTTCTGCTCCCCACTCTGTCTCTGGTGAAGTCTTTCGCCACCCCTGAGTCTCTGGCCTGTACCCCAGTTCTGTATGCACAAATAAATAAATCTTTAAAAATAAAAAAATAAACAAACAGAGATACAAGATCACTGCAACAGAATTGAGAGCCCTGAATTAAACCAGAAACACCTGGACAATTTAAAAGAGCCAGTTTATAATGGAGCAAGAAATCCTCTTAGATAATGGTATTTGAAAAATTGGACAGCATTATACAAAAGAAGGAAATTGTACTACTACCCAACACCACACAAAAAAAATTAACTCAAACTGTATTAAAAATGTAGATGTAGGACCCTCCCTGGTGGCCCAGTGGGTTAAAGCACAGCACTAAGAAGCTAAAGCCACTTCAGCATGAGTTCGATCCACCTGGCAGGGCAAACCTCTCCTGACCCGCCCACTGCTCCCCTTAGCAGCATACTTCAGCAGATCTGCCTGTTTGGCACCCCATTCTGTCTCTGGTGAATCTTCTCACTGCCCCTGAACCTCTGGTCTGTATCCCAGTTCTGTATGCATAAATAAATAAATCTTTAAACAACAACAAAAAAATGTAGCTGTATTAAAATTTTAGATGTAACACCTGAATCCATAATTACTTAGAAGAGAACATAGAGCATGAACAACCTAATAACAATCTTAGAATGTGTTTGGGAACTCGATTCAAACACAAGGGAAACAAAAGCAATATAAACAGAGACTAAATCAAAATGAAAAGCATCTACACAAGAAAGAAATGTTACATCACAACAAGAAAATATTACTGAATAGAAGATATTTGTACCATCATACGTCCATTAAGGGGTTAATATTTTAAATACATAAGAAACTCATAAAACAATAAAAATACAAGCAACCCAATTTAAAAATGGGAGAGGCTCTGCATAGACACTTCTCTGAGGGCATAGATGGGCCACAGGCACATAACAACATATTAATCATCTCTTATTAGAGAAATGCAAATAAAAACAGTTTAAGACAGTATCACCTGTGAGATTGGCTATTATATAAAACAGTACAGTATTTAGTGTTGGAGGACATGTGGTGAGAAGGGAAAATTTATACACTGTTGACTGGAATGTAAATTGATGCAGTCATCATGGAAAGCAGTTTGGAGAATTCTCAAAAGGTTAATATCAATTCTATATAATGCAGTTTCTGGTTATTTACCTAAAAATGCAAAAACTCTAATTCAAAAAGATACATGCACTCCCACGTTTAATGAAATATTACTTACAATAAACAAGATCTGAAAAACCTAACTGGCCATTGATTTAGAAATGGAAAAGGGCCCTCCGTCAGCAATATGAAGCAATCCATGGCCACGGCAGTATGAGTTCGATCCCCAGCAAAAGAAGTGACCAAGATGACATGGCAGACTTCTCCCATCTCTCCCGCTGATCCCCTCAACAGTGTATTTCAGTCAATCTGCCTGTTCTTCTCCCTACTCTGCCTCTGGTGAATCCTGTCCCCTCCTCCCCACCACAGCACTAGCCTGTATGTACCTTGGTTCTTGAATGCACAAATAAATAAAATCTTTTAAAAAAAATAGAAATGGAATTGACTATTATTTAGCTATAAAAACAGATGAAATGTTTCCATTTCCAACAACATGGACGTGCCTAGAGTAAATTAGGCTTAGTGAAATAAGTCAGACAGACAAGCATGCTGTACTTTCATTCATATAGGGCACATCTGGAATACAAACAATTGAATAAAATAAAATAAAAATAAAAATTATACATCTATTACATAAAGGTGTAGTTTCTTTTTATTATGATAAAATTACCATTTGAACCATTTTAAGTGTGTTTTAGTGGCATAAAGAACATTCACATTGTTCTTTCCCCCCAAATATAAATCTTTGGGGGGAAAAAAAAAAAATTTGGACTGAGACCAATTAGGGATTACCAAAAAGGGAAGGTGGGTAGTTCAGAAGGCTACAACAGTGAGATAAAGTCTAGATATGAACTTTTGCTGGGATTTATTGTACTATATATACAACACATGTTGATTCTCACTGATGCATAGCATAAAACTATATAATGTTATCATGCAATATTAACAATAAAAAAGCAACAAATCACAAACAATATAAAAATTTAAATCTTAATATATGGATAACTGCTTGAGTAACATATTTCTATTCTGTTGTCACCTCTTCTAAGTAACCATTCATTACCCCTGCTATCAGCCATTTCAGTTATGCAGAAAACCCTAAGTGTATCCTTCCCTAATCACCTGTCACCTTACATTTTTACTTACCTAAATTTAAAAATCAAATATATTGTATATTCCTTCTTAATTTACCTGTGCTTTGGTTCATCACTAGTCGTGGAGGTGAACTTGTTTCTTCAGAGTCTTCTGATGAGTGTGCCAGGAAGTCATGAAGCTTCTGCACCAATGTATTCAACTTGCTTTCACTATCAAAACAAAAATTTATAGAATTTCCTTAATAAGGTTGTCAAGTATATAACTGAGATTAAAACCTAATAAACTGAAAAAAAAATCTATACTGTAAGTGATATAAAAGAATGTGTATTCAAAAAAAGTAAAGGAAATAAATTTTATTTCACTGAGGATGTAAAAATGAGTAACACAACCTACCTGTACATGCATGCCTAGGCTTGAAATATAATTCAAGGAAAATACTGACATCTGATTCTGCTATACATCATTGAAAATAAAAATTCATTGATTTGTCAAATGTATTTACTGAGCACTTACTCTCTGGTAGCTGCAGAGGTTTTCTTCTTTATTAGTCTATCCTCTGCTTGGAACAAAATAATTATGTTACTGACTGACAGAAAGATAAAAAAAAAAATAGGACTTAGAAGAGGTCACAGATAATTGGGTAAATACTTATGTAAATTATTACAACATATCCCGTTAAGTTAAATAATGTATTTATTTTCCAAAAGTGTTTCTAAAGAATTAAAAGTTAAACTGCAGAAGGTAAAATATGAGATTTCTAATAAAGCAATTCCTAAAGGGGAAAACAGATAAAATTGACTTCATCAAAATTCAAAAGCTCTGTTACCAAAAACATAGTATCAAAGTGTGATAAGACAATTTACATAAGTAGAAGAAACTATTTTTAAAATCAACCTGAAATAGTATTAATATCCTATTATAAAATGTATAGCCTTTAAAAGGGTGCTATTTAACCTTTATATAATGTAATGATTTTTTAACACAAGAATGATGTTGGGATAACTGGATAGCCACATGCAAAATAATTCACACACAACACCATACAAAAAATTATTTCTAAGTGGATTAAAAACTTAGATGTAACATCTAAATCTATAAAATACATAAAACACCAACTATATGCCCCTTGACGTCAGTCTTGGACACGTTTGGGGAATTCAACTCCAACAAGGGAAACAAAAGCAAAAATAAACAAATGAGACTAAATCAAACTAGAAAGCTTCTACCGAGAAAGGAACTGCATCAGAAAAAAAAAAAATTACTACTAAATGGGAGAAAATACATGGATATCATACATCCATCAAGGGATTGATATCAAAAATATACAAGGAATTCATAAAACAATAAAAAACCAAACTACTCAGTTTTAAAAAATAGGCAGACTATCCTAAATTGACACTTCTCCAAAGACAGAGAAATGACCAATAGGTACATGAAAACATGTTTATTACCTCTTATTGAGAAATGCAAATCAAAACAAAAATGAGATATTACCTGTGAGATTGGCATTATTGAAAACACAAGAAATAAATGTTGGAGTTGGGTTCACAGGGAAAAGTGGTGGCGGAAACACAGCAGGGAAAGGTCCAATATCTATGGCAGAGGACTATGGATGCCTTGGTGGTGGGTGTTATATAGAGACATACATCTGAAGTGAAGTAAAGCTATTCATAACAGTGTTGTAAACCAATGTTAATACAATAAAAATAATTAAACTTTGAAAAAACAGTGTTGGAAAGGAAGCAGAGAAAATGAAAACCTTCACTGTTGCTGGGAATGCAAACTGGTCTGGCTTCATGGAATAATGTGGTGATTGCACAAATAATTAAAAATAGAAACTCTACATGATGCAGTTATCCCACTTCAGAGTATTTACCAAAAAATACAAAACTTCTATATAAATATATATATATGGATCCCCATATTTATGGAAGCATTATTTACAACTGACAAGAACAGGAAACAACCTAAGTGCCCCTTAACTAACAGATCGATAAAAAAGATGTGGTATGTGTATATTTACATATATAGACACACACACATACAGGAATGCTATTCAGCTAAAAAAAAAAAAAAAAAAGGTTAAATCCTTCCATTCCCAACAACATGATGGATATAATGGGAATTATGCTTAGTGAAAGAAGCCAGACAGAGAAAATTAAACAATGAACATTCTCATTCATATACAAAATATTGAAAAAACAAGGATCTAATTCAACCAAAAACAAAACAAACTTTCAGACTATAAGGCCAACTGGCAGTTATCAGAAGGGAAGGCAGCAAAGGGAGTGGTAACTGGGCAAAAGAGAATAATGGGATGGAGAAGGTGCAGAACTAGATTAGTGATGAACTTAATGAAGTAAATGCACACATAGGTTCTCAGTGATGCACACCTGAAACAAATAGTGGAATGCAATGTTACTTCAGTAAAAAAAAAAAAAAAAGAGTATAACAACAAAATACTAAAAGGAATAGTGGGTAGGCAAATCAGGGAATGAAGGTCAATTCTAAGTTGGTGAAGACCATAATGTAGTATATACAAATGTTAAACTAGAAACTTATAAACATAAAATGTAGCTAATCCTATAAACCAATGTTACTTCAAAAAAAACCTAATTTTTTAAATAAAATTCAACTGACCAAAATAAATATATAAATATCTGTTTAATTTTTAAAGACAAACAAGCTAATTTCAAAATGGGCAAAGGACTTAAAAATTTCTCCGAAGAAAAAATACAAATAGCCAGTAAGCCATTTTAAAAATGCTCAAGATTGTTTATTAGAAAAATGCAAATCAAACCATGAAAAGATACCATTTTACACTTACTCAGCTGGGTATAATTTTTAAAAATAGTAAGTGCTGGTAAGGATGTAGATAATTAGAATCCATATACATTGCTGGTAGAAATATAAAAAGCTAGTCACTGCAGAAAACCAGTAGTTAATCAAACATCTAAACACAGAATTACTAGATGACCCAGCAAGTCCTCGGAGGAAGACACATGTATAACTATATATAAGTATACATACACATACATACAGCTGTGTGGCTCTGTGTGTGTGTGTATACAGAATAATGAAAATACATGCCTAAACACACACAAAAAAGTATATCAATGTTTATGGCAGCAGTTTTCATTAATGGCCAAAAAAGTAAAAAGCAATGAAATGTCCATTGACTGATGACTGAACAATAGAATATTATGCTCCAGAAGAAAGGAATGAAATGTTGTTACATGCTAAAACACAGCCACTATTGTAAACATTATGCAAAGGAAGCAGACAAAAATGTCACATTACCAGATGATTCTATTTATACATATGAAATATTCAGAATAGGCAAATCCATCTAGACAGAAAATAAGTGTGTGCTAGGGGATGGAAAGAAAGTATAAGTACAGACTATTATTTTAAAGGCAATAAAATTTTGAGAATTAGAATGTGATGATGGTTCACAATATTGTAACTTACCAGAAAATAAACACTAACATGTATACTAATGGTTTAAAGCGTTACTTTGATGAGATGCAAATTTATCTCAAAAAAATTGAAAAAAGGGTGCCTTCCTGATGACGCAAGAGGTTAAGTCTCAGCACTATGAAGCTATAGGCAGCCACTGCAGCACCAGTTCCATCCCTGGCCCAGAGAGGTTACACACATGGCACAGCAGATCACTCCCTCCCACGTGCTGCTCCCCTCAGCAGTAGATTTCAGTAGATCAGCCTGTTCTGCATCCCCCTACACCTCTGCCCTACACCCCAGCTCTTGTAGGCATAAAAAAGTACTTTTTTTTAATTCAAAGAAATTCAAGAAAATAACTACATAAAAATCAAATTTGCACATTCACCTACAAAAAATATACAACCAAAATTTAGAAGGTAAACTAGCTGGAAATTTAAAATTTAAATTCTTATATTAAAAACAAAATTCGGGCCCTCCCTGCTGGCGCAGCGGGTTAAAGCACAGCACTGAGAATCTAAAGCCGCTTCCGCATGAGTTCGATTCCCGCCTGCCCCGGAGGTGACCACATGGCGTGGCAGACCTCTCCTGGCCCGCCCGCTGCTCCCCTCAGCAGTGTACTTCGTCGATCTGCCTGTTCTGTTCCCCACTCTGTCTCTGGTGAAGCCTTTCACCGCCCCTGAGCCTCTGGCCTGTACCCCAGTTCTGTATGCACAAATAAATAAATCTTTAAAAAAAAAAATTCGAGTAAATAACTGCAAAGGGGCAGGAAAGTAAACAGTTTAAAAAGAAAGCAAATACTAAGTAACAAAGTTGGGAGAAACAGTACTCCAGGCTTGCTAATAATAAAGAGAGTCAACACTAAAAACAATGTGAATAAAGGAAACAATGTGTCAGGCTTCCTGGTCTAGGCACCACCCCCCATTCAAGCAGACCACTAGTACTCAAGGTCAGAGTTTCCTGAGAAAGAACCCAATGCATTCATGAAAGTAATGGACCCTCCCTCCCGTGCAAAAGGTTAAAGAGCAGCACTGTGATGTTAGATAGCCACAGCTACTTCAGCATGATTTTGATCCCAGGCTAGGGAGGTGATCCACATGGAGCAGCAGACATCTCCTGTCTTGCCTGCTGCTCCCCTCAGCAGTGTACATTGTAGATCTGCCTGTTCTGTTCCCCACTGTCTTTGGTGATCCTCTCACCGCCCATGCACCTCTGGCCAATACCCCAGTTCTGCATAGATAACTAAATCTTTAAAAAAAGAAAGAAATGAAATTCAACAGACATACTGCAACTAAAATTTTGTGTGGAATTTTGGCTGCTGTGTTTTTGGTGGAGAAGGTTGTTTTACAGAATTCTGAAACAAACTTGCCTGTAAGGTTAAAGGTACCAAAATGATAGTATTTGTGTTTTTTTGTTGTTTGTTTTTGCCATGACCTTCCTTGGGGAGCATAGTCAGATGTAAACACTAAATTAACCAGCAAGTTATTCAGTGTCCTTAATCTTAAATTAGAAATGAAATCAAGATACATTTCAACCATGGCACATGAAACTCATTGGATCAAAAATTAGAGTAAGAATTATGCCTTGGCCCTCCCTGGTGGTGCAGCAGGTTAAAGCACTGCACTGAGACATGAAACTCATTGCATCAAAAATCAGAGTAAGAATTATGCCTTGGCCCTCCCTGGTGGTGCAGCAGGTTAAAACACTGCACTGAGAAGCTAATGCCACTTATGCATGAGTTCGATCCCCA